CAAGTTCACTAATAATTACACTAGTGTTATTAGCAAAAAGAATAGCGGTAGACATCTTACTTAGTAATAATATAAATCAAAAAGGGCAGAGGTCCTAAAATGGAACCTAGGTGGACTCCATGTGAAATTTCATAATTCAGATAATATCTTATGGTTAACGCAAGCAAAAGCTTTTTCTACATCACAGAATATTCCTCCCACATTATGTCCATCATTCATAGCCATTAATATCTGGTTAAGTAAACTACAAGTGGCTTTGTCAGTTGAAGAGTTTGCCCTAAATCCAAATTGTTCATTTACCAAAATATTATTATTGACCAAGTGTTTCTCCTGTATATCACTTTTTAAAATATTTTTTAGAAAGAAGTTAACAACAATATGGGTCTATAATTACTAATAAGATTCTTATATATGGGTTTTGTTTCAGAAAATTTAAGTCAATCTGGAAATATACCAGTTGCTAATGACATCTTTGTTAAGTAATATACACTATTTATCAAAATTTTGATGGGGATCTAGTCATATCCATAAGAACTGGTCATTTTCAATTTATTAATAATATTTACAATTTCATTAATTTGAGACCAAATTATATCTAATGGTAGGAAAGGTAACTTTAAAAATATCAGACAAATATTCAGTAGAAGTTTTACTTTTATCAATTAAATTATATTATTTGTTATATTGATAATTATGTCAGCTACAGACAAATTATTTATTAAAAGATTCAGAAATGATTTTTTAATTAGTATATGCTCTATCCAAAGTAATGAAAGTAGGTAAGATATCATAATGGGACTTCTACTAGTCAGTGCCTTAACAATATTCCAAGTACTTTTAGTTTTATCATTGGAATTTAAGATCTGTTTATTGTAATAAAGACACTTACTTTTTATAATATCTCCAGCCAGAGATTTACAATATGCCTTATAATAACATTTAATATTAGGATCATTACAATTCCTACTAATTAAATACAAATGTCGCTACATCACAGCAGTGATGTAGAAGAAACTTCTAAAGGTTTTAAAAAGCAAGTCGCACGTAAAATGCTAACAGCTAACAGGTATCAATTTTTTGCGTCATTAAGCCCTTTTAATATGTCTTCGAGGCAAGTGATGTAACATGGGAACCTGGTTTAAGTTCACTTAACATATCTTGAATCAAGTGATGTAATGTGGGAACCTGGTTCAGCCATAGTGCCATATATCGTAGTAGTCTGTGTAAAAGTGAAGCTGATTTTGAATTGTGTTAATAGTAACCAGGTAGTTGTGAGTGGAGGAGGGCATGTCCAACAGTTGCTGTGAACACAACTAATACTTGAAAGAGTCTATGAAGTGTTCATGTACATACTTGCAATAGCAGTTTTTAATAAATGATTACCTTGCTTGCACAGCAGTCCAGAATATGTATAACCTCATGTCTTGACCTTACAGAATTAAGGATGCTCGGTCTCAGAATCAGTTGTTAGTAGTTTTGCTTGCAGCAGTGCGGACACAATATTTTGTTGTGGGTAATGTGTGTGTTCATGTTTGCAGTAACATGGTCAAAATATCTCGATTTGGAAGTGTCTGTGTGTACACCATCCACATTGCCCCCAACCCTGGATTTGGACCTCTGGGGAGAAATCTGTCAAGATTTGAGTAGTTTGTGTCCCAAACCACTAGAGGATACATCTTCCACCGATCGTATCCTACAAAATGAACTGAACACACCAAAGATAGGTAAAACATTTTTTAACGTATTAATGAACGCCTCAGTTGAAGTACTTTTATTAACTTCCTAATGTTAAGTGCAATTGGAGAAGCATCTATGAGTCATATTTGCTGAATGGTATTTTTTTATATGTATGAGGGTTTGGAGGAAACCCAACCATGGTGCTGCTGCCAAATATGGCATGTCACAGTTGATCATGTATCTGAGTGCATGACACCATGAACCCAAGAAGTTCTTGCACAGGGGGATCCTTCAACGGGTCCCCCATCCTTGGGTTATGGTGGTTATTTCTGAAGGCTTCAAGTCCACCCTGGACAATCACTAAATGAGTTTCATTTGGACAACCCTCATGCAAGTGGACAAGATTTTGAGTTTTATTCAGTTTTGAAGTTGAAATAAGTGAGACATAGTCAACAGTGTCAGGTGCAAGGCAACTTTATGTTCACATTCAGTTTAACTTTGAGTTGTGATGAATAAGCATTATATACAAGAACTTCATACACAGGAAATTTTAATGTTATTATGAGCATTTTGGCGGGACAAAATGTTTCTTATAGGAGAAAACTTAATATTCCCAAAAGAAGTGCTGTGTGTAGGAACATTCTGTAATTCAAAGATTCTGGGCATACTGAAGTTCCACACAAGTTACTGGTCAAAATGGTTGATTAGTAAAGTTATCTTAACAGTATGCATCCTGTTGTGGGTCATAAACAAGGTAAATAAAATGTATACAAAAGTATGCAGTCTGCACAACAATATTCTGTTTTTTAAAACAAGGTAGACACTATCGCATCAACATTTGTTTTTATTGACGCTACATGTTTCGACCCTTATATTGGGTCATCGTCCAGCGTACTCGTACAGTGATACCAGACTCAGTTGTTAAATTGCATCTAATTCATCAATATGCATCCTTAGTGTGCACTTGAGTGTTCTTAAATGCATAAACTGAGTCTTTCAATTAACATTTTAAATCCTCGGGTAATTAAAAAATTAGAGACTAAAGATTAAAACATAAAATTAAAATTGTTCTAAAATGGAAATGAAGTATTTTGTGATAAATCTCTTTAAAAATTTGTGGCTGCTATGTGTTAATGTGATATTCTAGTGTGGAGCCCTGCACTGTAGTTGCTTCTACTACCAGAAAATCACATCAACACAGTGGTGCTATCTGTAGTCCTGAAATTATGGGACATGATAAGCGGCCTCCATAGTCTAGGGGTAACGTTCCCAGCTCATGACTCAAGGCATGCGGGTGCAAACCCGGCGGAGGTCGTGGAATTTTTAAGGGCGGAAAGATGCAAGGAAAAAGTCCTCCAGGAGGGACTTTAAGCCGCGGGTCCCGTGTTGTAGATTTACAGCATGTAAAAGATCCTCATGTCTCTAGGAGACCTCTGAGCAAAATTAGGCAACAAGTTTCCCACCCAAGTAGTTTCCAATGCCTCTGGTAGATGGGGGAAATATCAGGTATCGAGGGCCGATGTCGTTGGCTGAACGGGGCTGATAACACGCACCAGTACCGGTAGGGTATGGTGACAGTAGAAATTAAAGGGGGATGCACAGTGGACCAATAACTGGTCTAAGTGCATGGAGAAACCCATCCCCTCTAATAATAATAATAATAATAATGGGACATGATAAAGATTTTAAAAGATGGCACCTATAGGCATGCAAGGAATGAAATGCAAATAAAAAAATGTTAATGTAATTTCACATGCAATCAGATGATAGTGAAATTTATTTGATAGTGCTGTAGGTAGCTCAAATTGTAATAGCATGAAATTGTTGGTTGCTTAGTGTTTTGTGGAAAATTTGTTATATTATGTTTGCAAATTTGTGATAATGTATTGTAATGTGAGTACATGTATCTTGTTTGTTGGATTTCAGCTGGNAAGGAAAGGACAGACACTTTCCAAAAGTAAGACTATCCAGAAAGGAATTACATGCACACAGTTTGATAGAAAGTGCAGTCTCTCAAGATGGGCCAATGTTCAAACTTAAGATCTCCAGAACTAATCGAGCCAGCAGTATGAAGGTGCTGTAATCCCAGAAACTGTCCCCAATGGAGAATATTTTTGGATTGGAAGATCTCTTACTGCCGAAAGAAACCCGTGGACGTCCAGCAAAACGGGAATATCCATCAACATCTAAGGAAAGGAGTAGTTCAGACAGCAGATCATGGCTGAGAAAATCCTCAGGTTCTGTAACTGGTGAGTCATGGACTCATTCATCAAAAAGGTCGAGAATGTCTTCTCTTGATCCTGCATATGACCAATATTGACAGCTGAGAGAAAGAAATAATGAGTCATCAAGAAAATCTTGACAGAGGGGGCAGGCTCATGAGAGAGAGTCGGAAGAATTAGCTGCAACTCTTGAACAAAAGAATGAGAGTTTGAAGACGAGGATGGATGAACTTGTTAAAAAGTATGTCTTTTATCAGAATGCAGTTTCTTCTTTAGACTAAAAAATAAACTGCATAATGATAAAAAGGATATTTTAGTAAGTGATAAATGAGCCATTGAATGATAAGATACGATGGCAACTGGTTATAGCATTTTATGGTAGTGTGAGATGAATTAGTTAATTAAATGGCAAAATAGAGGTGATACCATTGGATGGCTTAGATTTTTTTACAGTTGTGATTAACCTTTACCATAGGAATGTTATATATATCTAACAGCAAGTAACATCACGCTGCAGCCGAATGTTATATTTTTTTAACCTAGGACACGTGCTCTCTTTGGGAGTGCTGACAGTTTGAGCTTCCATTTCAAACCAAAACTAACCCGCGCAAGGTCATGTCAATGGTTCATTTGTTAGCTCTGAATAATTACATTGTTTATCATGGTACTGGTTTCGATACTATTTACGTTTAGATATGACTGTTTATGACATGGTCAGCCAACTTTTGTTTTGAGAACTGAGGAGTAAATATTCATCTGTGTTTCAGGGTTTAAAGGTCCATACATTAAAGGTTAACGAATAAAAATTGTTCTAATAAACACTGAAATTTGAAGGTGTGAAGTTTCACTGGTTAAGTCCCAAATTCCTGTTCCAGTGATATGTTTAGTCATAATTTTTTTAACAACTTTGATAAGATAAATGAGCCATTGAATGGTAAGAATTGTTTTTTATTTTGATATATATACACACACACACACACATATACATTCATACATGTAAAACACATGTAGGTTGTACTGAAAGTCATGAGCAACTTTTTTTGCATGCAACCTAGGAACAGCAGATGAAAGAGAGTATGGTGGTAGGTGGAACCAGCTGTTGCGTTAAACTTGAGTGTCTTGTGACGTCAATAGCTTGCATCACATGACCAGTATCACTCCTAACAAAATGGCCGACGATATGTTGTTTTGCCGGCATGATGTCATCAAATTTCTTGTGAAAGAGGAAATTGCTGCTCATGACTTTCAGTACGACCCTCGTATAAATAACACAGTCTTCATGACCAATGAGTATGTATCCAATATACATGTCATACAGTTATGTTGAAGTGTCAAGTACAAAAGTTGTGTTGCCATCGGGTTTTACACTTACACCATTTTAGTTTTAAGCGCAACCTCAAGCAGTGCTTCTTTGAGCTTCTTTACAAGTTCATTTATCCTCTTCTTCAAACTCTCATTTTTGCTCAAAGAGTTGCAGCTAATTCTTCCAACTCTCTCTCATGAGCTTTCCTCCTCTGTCGAGATTTTCGTGACGATTCGTTATTTCTTTCTCTCAGCTGTCAATATTGGTCATATGCAGGATCAAGAGAAGACATTCTCGACCTTTTTGATGAATGAGTCCATGACTCACCAGCTACAGAACCTGAGGATTTTCTCTGCCATAATCTGCTGCCTGAATTACTCTTTTCCTTAGATTTTGGGGGATATTCCCGTTTTGCTGGATGTCCACAGGTTTCTCTCAGCAGTAAGAGATCTTCCAATCCAAAAATATTCTCCATTGGGGACAGTTTCTGGGATTACAGCACCTTCATACTGCTGGCTCGATTAGTTCTGGAGATCTTAAGTTTGAACATTGGCCCATCTTGAGAGACTGCACTTTCTATCAAACTGTGTGCATGTAATTCCTTTCTGGATAGTCTTACTTTTGGAAAGTGTCTGTCCTTTCCTTCGATGACCCCCCCCCAAGTTAGTTTGTGTTCCTCCGTCAAACAGCTGATTCTGATTTCCAAGCAGGTTGAACCTTGGTAATATCTGTTTACACTCCCTCTCTCTTTCCTTGTGCACAGGCTCTGCACGTGTACCAGACGTCTCAGCAACAAAATCCATTCTGGTAGGCAGTATGGTATCTGGCCCAACTGAAATCCAAAGAACAGATACATTTACTCATACTATCACAATACATTATCACCAATTTGCAAATATAATATACAGAATTTTCCACAGAACACTGAGGAACCAACAATTTCATGCTATTACAATTTGAGCTACCTGCAGTGCTGTCAAATAAATTTCACTATCATCTGATTGCATGTGAAATTACATTAACATAACATTTTTTTTATTTGCATTTCATTCCTTGCAAGCCTATAGGTGCCATCTTTTAAAATCTTTATCATGTCCCATAATTTCAGGACTACTGACAGCACTACTGTGTTGATGTAATTTTCTGGTAGTAGAAGCGACTATAGTGTGGGGCCCCACACCAGAAAATCACGTCAACACATAGCAGTCACAAATTTTTAAAGAGATATATCACAAAATACTTCTTTTCCATTTTAGAACAATTTTAATTTTATGTTTTAATCTTTAGTCTCTAATTTTTTAATTACCTGAGCATTTAAAATGTTAATTGAAAGACTCAGTTTATGCATTTAAGAACACTCAAGTGCACACTAAGGATGCATATTGATGAATTAGATGCAATTTAACAACTGAGTCTGGTATCATTGTACGAGTACGCTGGACGATGACCCAGTATAAGGGTCGAAACATGTAGCGTCAATAAAAACAAATGTTGATGCGATAGTGTCTACCTTGTTTTAAAAAACAGAATATTGTTGTGCAGACTGCATACTTTTGTATACATTTTATTTACCTTGTTTATGACCCACAACAGGATGCATACTGTTAAGATAACTTTACTAATCAACCATTTTGACCAGTAACTTGTGTGGAACTTCAGTATGCCCAGAATCTTTGAATTACAGAATGTTCCTACACACAGCACTTCTTTTGGGAATATGAAGTTTTCTCCTATAAGAAACATTTTGTCCCGCCAAAATGCTCATAATAACATTAAAATTTCCTGTGTATGAAGTTCTTGTATATAATGCTTATTCATCACAACTCAAAGTTAAACTGAATGTGAACATAAAGTTGCCTCGCACCTGACACTGTTGACTATGTCTCACTTATTTCAACTTCAAAACTGAATAAAACTCAAAATCTTGTCCACTTGCATGAGGGTTGTCCAAATGAAACTCATTTAGTGATTGTCCAGGGTGGACTTGAAGCCTTCAGAAATAACCACCATAACCCAAGGATGGGGGACCTGTTGAAGGATCCCCCTGTGCAAGAACTTCTTGGGTTCATGGTGTCATGCACTCAGATACATGATCAACTGTGACATGCCATATTTGGCAGCAGCACCATGGTTGGGTTTCCTCCAAACCCTCATACATATAAAAAAATACCATTCAGCAAATATGACTCATAGATGCTTCTCCAATTGCACTTAACATTAGGAAGTTAATAAAAGTACTTCAACTGAGGCGTTCATTAATACGTTAAAAAATGTTTTACCTATCTTTGGTGTGTTCAGTTCATTTTGTAGGATACGATCGGTGGAAGATGTATCCTCTAGTGGTTTGGGACACAAACTACTCAAATCTTGACAGATTTCTCCCCAGAGGTCCAAATCCAGGGTTGGGGGCAATGTGGATGGTGTACACACAGACACTTCCAAATCGAGATATTTTGACCATGTTACTGCAAACATGAACACACACATTACCCACAACAAAATATTGTGTCCGCACTGCTGCAAGCAAAACTATTAACAACTGATTTCTGAGATCGAGCATCCTTAATTCTGTAAGGTCAAGACAGGAGTTTATACAAATTCTGGACTGCTGTGCAAAGATTATATTTATATATTCATTATTTATGTATATACATAATGTAAGCTTCTTAAATGTTATAACCAGTTGCCATCATATCTTACCATTCAGTTCCTACCATCCTATTTGTTTGAAATTGCATTCTCTGTGAGACTAAAAAAGAAGCTGCATTCTGATAAAAGGCAAAATTTGTAATAAGTTCGATAAATGAGACGTTGAATGGTAAGATACAATGGCAACTTGTTATATCATTTTATGGTAATGTGAGATAAATTAGTTGATTAAGTGGCAAAATAGAGGTGATACCATAGCATAGTTTAGATGTTTTGTACAGTTGGGATTAATGTATGAAAAATGCTTTAATAAACACTGAAATTTAAAGGTGTGGAGTTTCACTGTTTAATTCCCAAATTCCTGTTTCCAGTGATATGTTTAGCTTACTGTAGATTCCTATCAGTTATGTTTACAAAGTGAACAGCTGAAATTACATTTATTGAAAAGGAAATGCAGGTGAATATTGAAAGGTATGCGGCACAGGCAGCATGTCTTGCCTATTAATGGCAAATTTCCTTGCTAGAAAAATGGTAAGCAACTGAACTTTAGTGTTTTATTTGGTAATCAGCAAATTTCCTTCCCACCAGAAAGTTTGATCTGCAGATATTCCATAATTGATGTGATTGGAAACTGGTGGTACCACTGAGTTGGTGTCCAATTTGCTGCCATACATATGCTGGAATTGCAAGTAGGATAGTGTGAGTTGAACATGTTATTATAAGAGATCGATTTGTTTAAACTAAATGGTAACTTTACTTATTACTTATGGAGCTGAGCCCTTCTTGAGGATAGGCCAAATCTGCAGCTACTCAAGAATATCCCAGCATTTTATGGAACCCAAAGGTTCATTACCGTGTTCACAAGAGTCATGCACTGGTTCCTATCCTGAGCCAGGTCAATCCAATCCATACTATCCCATCCTATCTCTAAGATCCATTTTAATATTGTCCACCCACCTATGCCTTAGTCTTCCCAGTGGTTTCTTTCCTCCTATATATATTCCTCTTCTCCCCCATTTGTGCTACATACCCTGCCCACCTCATCCTCCTTGACTTGATCATTCAAATTATACTTGGATAGGAGTACAAGTTATGAAGCTCCTCACTTCATCCCTCTTCGGTCCAAATATTCTCCTCAAGACCCTGTTCTCAAACACCCTCAGTCTATTTTCCTCCCTTAATGTCAGAGACCAAGTTTCACGCCCATACAGAACCACAGGCAAAATTATAGTTTTGTATATTCAATTTTTATGTTTTTGGACAGCAGACGAGAAGACAAAAGGTTCTGGACTGAATGGTAGCATCATTACCTGAGTTCATTCTCCTTAATTTCCTCCTCAATCAGGTTTTTACTTGTTATCATTGTCCCCAAATATCTGGACTGCCTCTGTGGTCTAGTGGTCAGAGTTCCTGGCTACAGATCCAGAGGTCCGGGTTCGATTACCAATGCTATCAGATTTTATGAGAAGCAGTGGGTCTGGAACGGGGTCCACTCAGCCTCATGAGGATAATTGAGGAGGTATTTCAAGCAAATAGCGGCTCCAGTCTAGAAAACCAAAATTAACGGCCAGTGGTATTTGTTGCATTGACCATGTGACACCCTCTATCCTCTAAAATTGGCACTAACTTTGCCGACAAGTGGCGGTGGCTCAGTCGGTATAGTTCGCTTGTGGACTAAAGCCACGGAGTTAGTTCCCAAATATCTGAAATGTGCCACATTTTCAAAACATCTGTTTCCTATCCTTATATCATGATTTTGCCCTGCATTTTGATGATGAGACAGCAACATATATTTAGTTTTCTCTCTATTCTAGACCAACCTCCTTACTTGCATCAATTAAAGTTTGTCTTTTTCTTTGTGGTACCTATATTATCACCCAGTAGATTCATATTGGCATGGACCAACAGCTGATGTGTCCTGTTTAAATTCAGTCCCACCTAGTTTTCCTGGACCTTCCTAATGACATATTCTAAAGGAAAGTTGAAAAGGAGTGGCGATAAAGCATCTCCTTGTCTTAGACCATTCTGGATAGGAAATTACTCAGACAACTGTTTACCTTTATCGACTTTACTGTACGTTTCGTTTAAACTCATTTTAATCAACTTAACTAGTTTCATGGGTATCCCATTCTCTATCAGAATATTGTACAATGCAATAACTGAATCATAGGCTTTCTTGAAGTATACAAAAAGCTGATGTGTTGTCTCATCGTACTCATTTTTTTCACCACTGGCATTCTACCTATCCTGTTGATTTATTTTCTTATCTTAATTTATTTAATTACTATTTCCTCTATCTCATACTTCATAATCTTATTCCACTTCACATCATCCTTGGAGTAGGACAGCAGTGGAGAATAAGAGAAATCTTTACTGATTTCATGGAGATGAGCCCTTCTTGAGAAGCAGAAATTTCCCAACATTTTGTGAAACCAGAAGGTTCATTACTGTGTTCACAAGAGTCCTCCACTGGTCCCTATCCTGAGCCAGATGAATCCAGTCCATATCACCACATCCTACTTCTCTAAGATCCATTTTGAATATTGTCCTCCCACCTGTGTCTAGGTCTTGCTGATTGAGCCTTTACTTGTGGTTTTTCCACCAAAATCATATGTGTTCCCCCCCATGTGTGCCACATGCCCTGCCCTTCTCATCCTACTTGACTTGATTGTTCTAATTACATTTGGTAAAGGGTAGAAATTATGAAGCGCCTTGTTATGTTTTCTCCAAACCCCCCCCCATCACTTCATCCGTCACTGCAGATTTTCTCCTCAGCACCCTGTTCTGAGAGACCTTCAGCCAGTACTATGAGAAAAAGGGAATGCAGAGAATAAACTGGGGAAAAATTGGTGATTACTCTAGAACAAGACAGAGGAAGGAGTTGGCAGTGGGTGGTGATCATGCAAAGGAAGGAGTTTGCAGTGGGTGGTGATCATGCAAAGGAAGGATTTGGCAGTGGGTGGTGATCATGCAAAGGAAGGATTTGGCAGTGGGTGGTGATCATGCTGTCTTTGAGAAAATGTGTTAATTCTCTTTTATGCAAAGATACAGAGTCCAGTAGTTTTGTTTCTTCAGCAGCAGCAGCACAGCTGGTGTCACTCGTCATGAATGATTCACAAGCCATTGTTTGCTTGAAGAGATAGACACAGAAGCTATGAATGCTCTAAAGAGTTTCCAAGAATTATAATGAAATGTAAAATGTTGATTTTAATGGCAGTTTTTGTTTTTAACTTTTCAGCAGAACTTCTGCAGATTTGTATCAATGGAGGTCACTACTGAACATTCCATTCCCTTGGAGATTCTCGATGACCTTGGAAGGTATACAATTTATGTGTATGCTTATGTAGAGATAGATAGACAGACAGTCAGGTAAGGCAGATTAAGCAGTATCAAATAGATTAGATAGATAGATAGATTGCTTGATTGTTACATACATTGTACGCATTCCATTCTTTCTGGTTGCTAATTGAGTAATCATGTCAGTCCTGAAATTAATATACAAGTTCCACATAGTAGGTGTCTGATGTGCTTTGTAGTCAACAAGCAGTTCACTTGCTAATACAATACCTGTCATTACTGATCAGTTGACTGAAACACATGAACTGACTCTCTTCATAATACAGAGTTTTCCTTTACTTTATCTGTCACATTTTTACATGTTGTGCAGCAGTGTTCTGCAGTTTTTGTGGTCTTTGTAGGAATGATTTTTGTAGCATAAAGATGTGTCACTATGGTTCCAGAAGCTTCTTCAATATTTCCATATGTGGCATTTCATGGTACTTTATCAGCTAGCATACACCTGACGCCTGACTCTAAAATTTGCTGATGAAGAAGCCAATTAAATTATCGTTTTACTTTAATAACATATCAAGACAATCCTTCTGAGTGCAGTGCTATTAAAAAATTATGTAGAAGGGTAATATTGTCCTCCGTGCTTAATTCATTAAGCAACTAAGCACCATGCCATGAAGACCTGTGGAGGTGTGGTGATATAGCTCTGCCATTCTTGACCTCAGCATTAGGTGGAGGTGAGTAGTCATCTATATGCTGCAGCTACTTTATCCCTAGGGAAAGAGCTCCTGGTACATTGGCCAGGAGGCTGGTGGGCCCATGAACTAGTCTGGAAGTTGTTGAAAAGGGAAAAATCTGTTGCTTCTGTTGGGAATCAAACCTTTGTTTTATCTTTCCAGCCACACTTGGTCCCTAAGAATTTTATTTTCCAACCATGAAAATGGGCCACATTATTTAATTTTGAATTATCTTGATTAAAGTAGTATTTTTTTACAAATTCCTGCTTTGCCTATTGGAGAAAAGTGAGACTTAACAGCTGGATGACTGGGTACTAAATATATTTATTCCTGAGGCAGAGTTTCAATTTGTGTTCCACTGATAAGTGAAGAGACATGTACTGAAGGGAAATATTTTGTAGACAGTGAAGTCAAGTAAAAAAAAAAAAAAAAAGAGATAATTACGCTTCAAGAAACCGAGTTATGTGTGGTGTCTTGCATGGGTGTGGGCTTTTATTTATGTTCTTTTTTTATTTATCTTGCAGTCGTTTTATTATTAATGTTCCTGTGGAAGAGAGAAAAGATTTGGTGAGGATATGTTTTCAAATCGAACTTGCACACTGGTATTACCTTGATTTTTACTGTGCTGATGACAAAGCAGAAAACAAGCTGAAGCCATGCGGCATGAAGGAATTTACTGCTCACATGTTTCAGGTATGGTTTATTTGGACTGTCTCTCTCAGCATTATAGTACTTTGAAATAAAGTTATGGTCTTTTGGAATGCTTCATGTAGTTTGTTAGAGAGGTGGTATTATTTGGAGGGACCTCCGGCTTCCTTCATCAGGATAGAAGATTGGGCTGCACAGGATGAGAGAGGACTGTTGGCTTGGTTGCTGTCATGGTTTCTCTCTTCACTTCCCTATATTGTATACTTTTTTTTTTTATGCGGCTTAATCGCCTATCCAGAAGATGGACACAGCAGGTTCCCCTGACATGTGGCTACCCATCTGCCAGATTGCACAAGTCACATCCCAGAAGACCTTAATTTTCATGTTTACTGCCATACAGATGAAAAAGAAATAGTGGCTGGTGAATAATTTCTCACTTGATGTTTGGGATTTGGCCTTTGGAATTCTTGAAATCTCAGTTGGTCATTTAGAGTACAGAGGAAATAGCAAAGTATATGTAGAGATGTTAAGATCAACATAAATAACATATCATAACAATTTGTTCTCTGTTTAAAATCTAGTGTTTTTTTTCTTGTGCCTTGCTATGCATATTTAAAATAAACAGTGCAATGGAAGGAACCTTGTGCATCAACTGGAGGCGAGAACCACATCAAAGTGCTAGAAAGTACTGGTTCTCTGATGACAAAAATGTTTGCTTGGCTCCCATATTTTAAAAAATTTCTTGATTCCTGCTGACATGAGAATCCCAAATCTCACATATTTTGAATTTATTTAAAGTTTTTTCTTTTGTTTTGATACTGAGTGTGTTCATTTGAATGTCATACAGCACATACCATTTCTGAAACCGCATTCAAAAAACCTTGAATCAGTATTGGAACAGTGGCGAGATTATAAACAGGCAGTACCCACATACGGTGCCATATTGCTCAATGAAGATCTCTCACAAGTTCTCTTAGTACAGAGCTACTGGGCCAAGTCATCCTGGGGGTTTCCTAAAGGCAAGGTTAATGAGGCAGAAGATCCGATACACTGCGCTGGCAGAGAGGTAATTCTGTTTTTTTTTTTTTTGTAATGGTCCTATAGTATAAGCATGCACAGTAAATTGATGACCATACCCAGTTGCAGAAGTATTATCCACATTCTCAAGCAGAAGGCTGTTATAAAACATCTAATGGTTGAGTGTGTACATTGTACGAAACAACTGTGCAGGTTTTTGTTAAAAATTAATGAAGTGAAAGAATAAGAGATGAAATTGAAATTAAGGAAAATATGGTTAGCAACTACTGAGCTTACTTCTCCTATATATGTCAGTTCCAAGCGACAATTTTTTGTCAGCGAAAATATCTATCACATAGTCACAGAAGCACAGGCTGTTGTCTGAGTCCTGAAGCACGTTCAGCTCATCTGTCAGTAATGATAACAGAGTGAATCTCTGCTGTGTCTGTGTTCTGCATAGATAAGTATGGATCTTTCTCAAAGCAGAGAATGGCCTCTTGACAGACACTGGTTACTGGGATGGCTAATAAAAATGCACATAATTTTGTGACTTCTGATAATGCTGTACTCAGATTTGAAGCCATCAGATATTTGAGCAGGTCTGAAATATTACTTTCTAAAAATTCTTTGGAAAAATAAATTGGCATAGGTCAGTTTGGAGAGCAAGAGAATCAAAATACTATGTGTATGGTTTCCTTAACATTGCGTAAAATGTAGCTGAAAAGTTTGCAGAGTAGTGTTCGAAGTTAATTAAGTCCTATGGTGAAAGTAATGTTAGTTTGAGAATTTTGAAGAATCGACCAGACAACTGTGCTTTCATAATTTAGCTGTTTCACAGTAGAGCCAGTGATAAGTTTGCTGAAGTGATTTTGACTTTTATTTGGGAGGTACTCAGTGCGAGTCTCAGGTTGGATGACTGTCCCGAAGGAGTCTTTTTGTGGTTTTCTTCAATTCCTCCAGGCAAGTGCTGGGATATTACTTTAAATTAGTACAGGACTGCAGCATTTTGAAGTTATTGTTCGCTGTTATTCGACACTAGAGTCTGAATGGCTGATAGTGTTATTAAATGAACTACAGAACAAATGAGTTTATGCATAGATTGTTCTAATATTTTGTCTTGTTGTCAACAGATGGCAGTCTTATGCACTTCTTTGGTTTGTGTTCAACCAAAGGATGCATTTTATTTATTAATGTACACCAAAAGTATAAAATGAGATAAGTCTGGAACAGCAGGAACTTCCTGTCATTTAAATGTGGCTAAAAAGGGAGGGGGTATTGAGTGCCATTTAAAGAGTATTTCAGGGGGTTACATTTTTAATATTTTGCATTACTGTTACACATGACATGCTGGTTTAGTTTTTCTCACACATTTCATTTTTCAGGTTCTAGAAGAAACTGGGTTTGATATTAGCAAGATGATTGACAAAAATGAATATATTGAGTCAACAATTAATGATCAGTTGATACGTCTTTACATTGTATCTGGGATTCCACATGACACAAAATTCCAGCCTCGAACCCGAAATGAGATTAAGAGCATTGAATGGTTCACGATTGCTGACCTTCCATCCAACAAGAAGGACAATACACCAAAATTAAAAATTGGTGTTGGACCAAGTTCATTCTTCATGGTTGTGCCATTTATTAAGTGAGTAATATGCCATTCCACAATTTATCTGTTTAATTTNGGCCGTGGCTTCTTCTACTATCTCGAATTTTGGGGCATAACATTATCTCTTAATTGAAGATAAGGAACTATGGGCTGGAAACTGAGGGGTTGGAGTTTGAGTCCTGGTATGGTCAAGAATTTTTTCTTCTCCACATCATCCAGACAGGCTCTTAGGTCCACCTAGCCTCCTATCCAATGCGCACCAAAGGACTCTTCCCCCCCCCGCTGGGTGGGGGGCAAAGGGCATGAAGCTGGNAAATTGGTGTTGGACCAAGTTCATTCTTCATGGTTGTGCCATTTATCAAGTGAGTAATATGCCATTCCACAATTTATCTGTTTAATTTATTTTTTAATTGAAGATAAGGAACTATGGGCTGGAAACTGAGGGGTTGGAGTTTGAGTCCTGGTATGGTCAAGAATTTTCTCTTCTCCACATCATCCAGACAGGCTCTTAGGTCCACCTAGCCTCCTATCCAATGCGCACCAAAGGACTCTTCCCCCCCCCGCTGGGTGGGGGGCAAAGGGCATGAAGCTGGCCACTCACCTCCAACTAGTGCTGAGATCAAGAAAATGTGGATCTATACATCCACTCCTCCATATGCCTTCATAACATAGTGCTTAATTAGTTAAGCACAGGGACAACTTCGCCTTTCTTTACTTAATTGGATAAATTAAAATGACTTGAAACTGGTATCATTGAGATAAAAGATGAAGTCAGTGTCTAATGTGAGGTTTTTGGTTCTTACGGCAATGATTATGAAGGTACTGGGGCAAGGAGATATTATGTAGAGTGCCATCTTCCGGGATGTAAAGCTGTGTAGTCTGTTGCAGGTCAGCCAATGCTTTGGAGGCTTAGCTTGGCTTGGCTTGGCTTATTCTTCAACACTGAAGGTTGAGGTGACATATTAAGTGTCACGTAACTTCGAACAAGGTCAAGAGTAACCTTGAATGCACAGAAGAAAAATTTCAGACAAGGGGGCGGGTTCAAGGGAAGAACGAGTGTTAAGAAACTCCTCCACCACAAGCTATGCGCGGGATTTGACTAGGAATGCGGGTCCTTGTTCGAAGTTACGTGACACTGTCTATATATCCTTTTTAAACGTCAGTTGACTTTTAGTGGACTATACAGTATTATATCATAGAAGATAGAACTCTTCAAGCACTGCTTTGAGAACCTCAAATCCTATAGACATTGTATAGTCTAGAAGATATGGCGTGAGGTGATTTGGTCCATGCACCCTTTCACTGTGCAAAGGACACGTGACAAGAGTTCCGTTGCTGGTCATCCTGAACCTTCTTCATTCCACCAGTCTCTCTTTCCGAGCTGTGGTATTAGTTTACAAGTTAATCATTGTTCTTTTTGAATATTTTCATGCTGGGACTAAATTAACTAATGCAACTGTAGAGTCCAACAGTTCAGAGGAACTTATTGTCTCCATCTACCCTCAAGATGGAGGCAGCAGGTTTCTCTAAAACATTGATGTCTTCAAGACTACATAGCACCACACCCTAGAAGTCAGTAATCACTGTATATAATGTTATGTGCCCTATGGCGCTTTTCTGCTTAAAGTTCTCGTAAATAATACTGTGACGTATAGACCTGTTGTTGGGCAGAGACCTCAAAAGGGACCAGTACAACCATTGCTATGTAATAGGCAGATAAAGAATCACCTGTTTCTAAGCAACAATTGGTAGACCCATTCTCCTGTAAACAGTATTCAGTCTCTTGATAGGCAACTGCCATGACAGCAATAGAAGGGTTGTTGGAGGCAGTGTTCTCTGTTGGGTCTGCCCCAAGGTTATATGATGAGGACATCAGCTGAGTTAGTCAAGTTGTCAGTTGACAAGAGTTCTGCAGAGGTAGCTATGACAAGAGGACCTGAGCGTGGAAAGCTGAAAAGTTGCCCACTGTAGAAGTCTGCCAGGAAATGGCTAGTGCAGACTGTACAGAACTGTTGGNATTGTCATAGATTTGTGAAGTCAGTAATTTCTGTATATAATGTTGTATGCCCTACAGCATTTTGCTGCCTAAAGTTCCTTTAAATAATACTGTGGCATATAGAACTGTTATTGGGCAGAGTCCTCAAAAGGGACGAGTACAGCTGTTGCTGTGAAATAGGCAGATAAACAAACACGCGTTTCTAAGTGGTAATCAGTAGGCACATTCTCACGTAAACAGTATTTGGTCTGTCACTAGGCAACTACCATGACCATAACTCTGACTGACCATCAGTCACAATGTGACTTTGACTTTGGCTGCAGTCAGTTGTCAGCAGTTCAGTTGTGTGAAGTGACATGAAGTAGCTGGTTGCTGAATGAGACAGTTCAGTTGGCAGTTCATTTGAAATTGTGTTAAGAGCAGACTAGGAGGTTGGTGTGAAATGGCCAACAGCCTGGGACCCAGTTAGTGAAGTTGTCCATTGACAAGAGTTCTGCATGGGCAGCTATGAAAAGAGGACCTGAGTGTGGAAAGCTGAAGATCTCTCTTTGTAGAAGCCATTGCCAGGAAGTGGCTAGTGGAGACTGCAATTTACTGAAGATACTAGTCTTGTCAGAGATTTGTAAGATTTGTAAAATGTAGTTCCGACTAGTGTATACAAGTGATCAATAAATCCAGTATCCAGTCCATACCCCATCTATAGTCACACCCCAAAATGGTGAATACCATATTTCCTTGATTATAAGATGCACTTTTTTATCCCATTAAAGTTTCTGAAATCGGAGTATATTTTTGTATTTGATATCTAAGAATCAATGTAAAAAAATTATATGGCTAAAACACAAGGAAAATCTTTATATCCATAACACCAGGGACAGTAAACAAGAAGGTACCAAGAAAAGAGGTTCCAAAAATATTTCTACTCGTATGTATTTCCATTAAAAATGTTACATATGACTTTGTATAAGACATCTGTGGGTGCTTGGAAGCTGAAGGTATACTTGGTACCTGCTTGTTACACCTATACTTATTGTTGCATCTTAAAACATTTCTTACAGTAACATGTGGCAAAAGGATTTGGGGGTGGGTATTGTCAACATTCTTGAACATCTGGTTATCGTCCTATTTGCCATTGCACTTTTGGTAGTCTTCGTGTAACAGATCATCCATTGTGAACAGGTTTATTAACTTGTTTACTCTGGATGGCTTGTCATTCCAAGATTATTGTAGGTATGAATGTATAAGGGGTGGGCCTTCTTGGCCCTTGCACTGCGACCACAGTGATCTATTGTGCCTCTTATTGTAGGTAACTGTCACTTTACAATATTTTTTAAGTGGTTCAATTATGACAGCATTGAAATGAAATCAAGGATGCCCTGCAGTCAGTAGTGTCTTCATTCCTAAAAACCTATTACTCAATCATATGTGTGTCCCATGGTCAGTGGCATCTTAGAATGGAGGAAATATGGTATTTAAAAATGTAATTCATAGTTCACTGAAAACACACTGCATCTTCATAACAGAGACCAGTCAGTTAATACTGTTCAGATAAAATAATCACTGTTTATTCTGAGAACCATACAAAACACAAACTACGTTCTGCAAGGAAAATGCTCAGTTTGTCATGCTAAAGAGGGTGGTGCCTATGGTTATCATGCTTTAAAGCAGTGATTCTAAACTAGAAGGGCAGCTCCACCACCCGAGTTTGCTCAAAAACCCATTGGCTTAGTAATGTTTTCACCCTAAATGTACACAGACTTGTGATTTTACTGAGTTTGACTTGATGTGTTTGAAAGGTTGAGAATTACTGCTTTAAAGTCTTAAGCATCCAAAGCATTGAGGGTTGCAGCTCCCGATGCTTTTGTTACCATTGTCATTGTCGTTTATGTTGAAATTGGGAAGGAGTGCTTTGGCGTCTGCAGCTACATAAATCTGCTCTGATGTCCACAGGAGGAAGCCACACAGATAGATGTGAGGGGACATGAAAGAATCTACTAGTGATAATAAAAATATTGTACATTGCAGAGAACTGAAAGAATATTATAGTGATATGGAATTGACACTGACTTATAGTTATCTTGGTTGAAGGTCACTATCTTCTGTGATACAACATTGTAATTACTGAAGATGGAGGCTGTAAGTTTCTCCAAAATTCTAGTAAATATCTACCAAACTACACATTGTCACATCTTAGAAGACAGTAATCTTCATAGTGAGAACCTCAAATGCTGTAATTGTTTAGGTTGGTGCCAATATCATTGAGAAATCACGAAATTTTAACAATTCTTGAGAACTCAGTGACCCCTCCCACTTTAGAGTAGGTTGCATCCCGCTGGAGGATCACCACCCATAGTTTGAGAAACCATGCCTACATCTGTGTTCCTGTGGGAATGCTGCATTGTGATAGTGTGTTTTTTTTCAGAATGCCCCACATCAGCATGGCAGAAGGAGAACATTTCAGAGATTTGATCTTTTAGGCAATGGTGATGTTATCATTCTCTGCATTGGGGACCATTTGGCAGCTATGATGATGAAATAGTACGGAATGTTTTAATGTTTGTGTAGTGTGTCATTGCAAGAATTGTTTGATGGAAGCAGTAGCCACATATATCCATAATGACTGAGTTGACTTGAAAACAGTCAGTAAAATCTTATGTAGTTCTGATCTTACAATTCATTGTTTGTACTTTGTCGTATGTTATGATTTCCACGAAGTTTGCAGCAAAAGTTTTAAATATGACAACATTGTAGGAAGTGGCAATATATATTTGCCCATGAAACAGTTATCAGACTAAAAATTCAGCACAGTGTTCATGTGCAGTTGTGATAGCTCAGTGGGTATATTGAGTAGGAAGCATGCTGGATAATCAAAGAATCATTATTTGATTTCCAGTTGGGGCAGGAAAGTTGCGACCAGAGTATGAAGCTGGCCACTCACCTCCATCTAGTGCTGAGGTTAAGAATACAAAGAGATATATCTCCACTTTCCCATATGTCATCATAATCTGTGCATAGTCAAGCACAGGGGCAACTTTAACTTCATAATGTTTGTGTATTTATGTTTCAGACGACTCAAGAGATGGATTTTGGAGAACCAACAGAAGGGAATGCAAGGAACAAGAAGGCACAGGCACAAGTCAGTAGGTGATGCTGAAACAAATCTGCCAAAGAACAAAAGGCAGCAGCAGTTTACTCAAGCTATTCAGGTAGGAAGTTCTGCTAAAAATGTTGCAGAATGTTTAAAGAAAATTAGCAACTTCAGAGGAGTGTTTTGGAGCTTTCCCATGAATGTAGCAATTAATGAAAGGTGAAGTTGTTCTTTGCTTAACTAATTAATAACCATACCATGAAGATATGTTGAGGAATGGATGTGTAGATCCACTTATTCTTGACTTTGGCACTAATTGGAGTTGAATGGTCGACTTCATGCCTGGCCACTTTACCCCCTTGGGAAAGAGCCCTGGTGCCCACTGGATAGGAGGCTGGGTGGGTCCCAGAAACAGTCTGGGGGATGTGGAGAGGAGAAAAATCTTGCCCTTTACTGTGACTTGAAATCTGACCCCTTGGCCATCCAGCCTGTAGCCAGTTGCTATACTGACTGGTAATCTGATTGACTTAGGATGGTGTTAGAATGCAGTAGTCTTTAAAGTGAAGTACCAAGTCATGACATTTTCACTTCTGTGTGGGTCATCTAGCAACCAGGTTTCTCCATGTATCTCAGTCTTCCTAAAGCTCTGCCTCCTTTGTGTGTCTGTTCTGGTAAGACATTCAGAAGTCTGTTTCGTATTCTTGTTTACAATACTGAATTAAGGTGAAATCACCTGAACAGCGTTTCTTGTATACAGCACTTATGTGAAAAGTAAATCTTACAATTTGTTTAAAAACGGTCTCACCATAAGTATCCTGGTATCCAAATTCATCAGTGATTTTTGAATGGGTGAAGAGAGTGCATTCAATTGGATGTTTGTTTGACAAGATGTGCACTAGACAAAATGCTATGGTAACTGAGGAATAACTTGGATTAGAACAAGTGCCTCGCAAATCTCAGATACAGTTAGCTGAACAAGTACAGTTTTCAGTGACAACAGCATGGAGAGCAATTAAGAAACATCTGTTGCTATATAAAATTAGACAGATTCAGGCAATTGAAGAAAGTGATTATGAAGGAAGAATGCATTTTTGTGACTGGTTTTTGTAGGCACTACATGATAAAGTTCTTGACTTACAAAACTTACATTTCTTTACTGATGAAGCTTGGTTCTCTCTTAGTGGGCATATCATTGCGTAGAACAATAAGTATGGTAGCAGTATTAATGCAAGACAGGCTTTTGAAGCACCCTTTCTCAATCAGATTGGTGTGCCATTACTGCTACAAAAATAATGGACCCATATTTTTTTAGCAGACTTTTAATTCACAATCATATGTCAGTGACATTCTTTGGCCCTTTTCTGAATGCATTATGAAAGACAGAAGGACTTTTGTTTATTTTGAGCACACATGGCTAATTATTGTTATGCTTTAAATGTGTTTGAAGACAGGTTATTAAGTTGCAGATGGTGGTCTACAAGACTTAAAACTCTGTGTAGTCAAATTTTTCCTGCATTTTGATGAACTTAAGCACATCATTTGTGAAACAGTTGCATCTCTCAAGGTCACATAATTCAAACTAGTGTCATTGTTCAAGAGGAGAAAGTAGACATTTTGAGCATCTGATGTTATGATGAGTTCTTATAAACTGTTTAGTTTAGTTTAAGAAATGCATGCCCAGCTTAAAATGCACAGATTGTTAGCTGAGAATCTAGACCTCGCTTTCTCAATAGGTGACAGCTGAGGATCTGACTAACAGGCCAATGGTAAGAGAGTCGGGTGGAAATGGTAAGAGTTTTGTGATTTCATCTTTTGAGGAAGAGTGTAGTACCATACTGTGGCTCTCATTAATATTATGTATAACTATATATTTAGTATATTAAGTCTGTTTCATATGTAGGCTGAAATACAAGATTTTCAATTAATGCGTCAGCAGAAAGGATTGAATTCTTCTCCTCCCCGCAATATACGTCGCCAGGAGAATGGTCGCACTTACAAACAGAGTTTCAAGAGGCAATTATTTGTCAGTAAGTAATGCCACAATTCACTCTGTGATTAAGGACGAGGGCACATTAAGGAAATTGGCAACCGAAATTTCCAAGAAATGTCACAGATTTCAAGCAGGCAACTGGTTTCCTGCTTAGCAGGTGCACGCTGAGGAAAGTTAGGTTTGATTAGTTTCCCACATCATCTTAAGTGGGTATGCTCATCTGACCTATTGCATGGCTGCATTTTTTTAATTTTCTTGCACTTACCTTCTGCAATGGAAGATTCTAATACTTATCTTGTCATGATATGGTGAGATCAGTTGAGACAGCGTCAGAAGAGAGGATGACGACCATAAGGAAAATATTGCAGTGCTAATTAATTTGTTTTAATTAAGGTCAATTTATTTTAATCATGAACTATCACATTCACACACAATACAAAATTTTGACATACAGTGCAACAATTTTAGCAAGATATAAGACACCTGATGATGGCTGTATATAGGTGAACCATGTAATGTGGAAGAAGGGTGACTGTATAATAAGGTCTATTTAAGACGGAAATATATGTGAAATAAATGATATGTTAATGCAACAGGATGCTTAAATACAATATTAGGAAAAGAAAACATTGGATGCATCCATTCTTCTGAAACAGTTTTAACTGAGGAGCTTATATTGTTTCGAAAGAACTTAACCTGGATCCAGGCTCCTTTGTCTCATGAAAAATTCTTTCCCAAGCCAAATCTATTTTGTCCTGCCTAGCATAATTTGGGCAGCATATGTCATATATGCCAGGCTCTGGTTCAATTAACTGCACAGAAACGAAATTAACAGCTTCATCAACCTTTAATGCCATCTTAAGAAAAAAATGAATCACTGACACATGTTATAGAAAGCTGACACTAGGAAACCATGTGGCAACACAATTATGAGAAGACTGGCATGCTCCATTGCCTGGTGGAAGTTGAGTTTGTCAGTTTCCCCACGAGTTGCATTGCTGATTCCTCAATTTGCGCTGCTCCATTCACTAACATGTGTTTAACTCAGGCTGATAACAATTCTCGGAAATTGTGGTCACGTTGTGGTTGCCAGTTTCCTTGATGTGCCCTCAGCCTAATATTTTCATGACCAAATCTTTTAAGTCACATGAATGCTGGCACCATGTAACACACATTTAGTTGCAGTCAGGTGGATAGCACTTCTGCTTTATATTTGGGAGTCCCAGGTTCAAGTCTGTGCTCAGAGACTTGTCATATTGAGTGAGGTTATTTTTGGCTTTCCTCAGCTCCTCCAGGCAAACACTGAGGTGGTACTTCAAATTAGGTCACGACTGTTTCCTTCCACTTCCTTTCAAATTGATATCACTAATTATCCTACTGTTTGACACTGTATGATCTGAGCTCCTGACAAATGTCATATAAATCAGACTATGTAAATTATGTAACATGCCATGTTAAATTCTCCCAGCAGAGTGATTTTTTCTGTACTGTACAGTTGCCAACATAAAAGCATGTTATTTCCCATAAACATGCATATATCATACATGAGGTCATCTGTTGACAGAATTGCTGTACTAAGTGATTGACATTAAGCAGATCTCTTTGGTTGTGATAGTTTTAATGGAAGTGTGCTGTGTCAGTCTAATTAGCTTGTTCCTAGCATATATTTAATGCTGTGTTTTTTGGGTATGTATCTTACTATTTCCTTAACCTCGCTGTCATACACAGAATTGAATGTGCTAGCAAGAATGGAGGATAACACAGTGAAGTAACACTTCTGTTACTCCCTTGAAATTTGCCTTACAGGTCAATTCAGACTCTCACACATTTTGAGATGTTGCTTAGAAATTGATAGGAGATACTGATACTTGCATAGCTTTGTTAGCATCTGTTAGCATGTTACTGTGTTCAGCATTGTGAAGTCTCTTGCCATAAAATGCTCACATTTTGTTGAGTAGCTGAGCAACTATTAACTCCTCAAGAAGGCTGCACTCCATTTGATATGTTGATCAGTACCTTAGACTACTCATGTGTAGTGATGAATCATGGGATGATTAAAGAATGAATGGAAAGGATGTGAATGGAAGCTTTTATGGCCTAATATGAAGTACTGTTCCAGTATCTGCCTTGATGGGCTCAGGAAAACCATAAAATCCTCAATCAGGATAGCTGGTCCTCAGGCAAGACTTGAATCCAGGACCTCCCAAATACGTACAAAGGACAAGTGTCAACCGACCCGACTGTGTTGTTCAGTATCTGATCTGTGCATGGCTGCTTGCTTAAAAATAATGTAAGAGTGAAGTTGAAAGAATGTATGGCTTATACTGTGTGAGATTTGAGGTTTTTATGAGCAAAGTGCTGCCTCCATCTTTACAGTAGATTAGTCAGCATTTCAGTTTTTTCTGTGACTAAATCAAATTCTGCCATCATATTTTTCAGAAAAACACAGTCTTTGATTGTAAAACACATTCTGATTTTCAAAATTACAGCTCTAAAACGGTGTGCATGAAGAATTAGAACTATGTAAGTGTAATGTGTTTTGGAATTTGTTTTAGATGAGGAAGAGAAATCACGCAACCGCCACCAGCTTCTTACTCCTAGCACCACATCTGTTGGTGCTGTACCAAGTCATGAAAAGATTAGTAATGACCCCTTGCAGTTTAGTGCTCCCTCATGGCTGAACTTCAAGTTTGACCAACAAGCAATCTTGGAGTGCCTCAGCACATGATTATTACATTCTTCTCCATCAGATTATCATACTTATGATTTTTTGAAGTGTTGGAATGCAGGGCACAACAAAACACTGCATTCATGGTTTTAATGTCCCCATCAGTCTCTTTTAGTACAGTTCAAGCTCTCTTATATCATTATATGAGTTATGTAAGTATAAGTCTCTATTTTTAAATGTAATGAGTATTCGTACATATGTATTCTTTAATTTTTAATTGTGAACGTCCATTAAAATCAGTGTTATGATTCAGCTTGTACCCTGATGGAAGATGGTAGAAATGTGTAATGTTGATATTGAATGTAAGCGGTTTTGTTTCTGCAGCAAATCAATAACCTCTCCTATATGTATTTTTATTTTAGTTGTGAAAATATGCTTAAAATTTATGTGAGCCTTTCGGGGTGCATTATGACAGAGCTGATGCAGAAAACCAATGTATGTGTTGTCATTGTATCACACAGGGTTAAAGTAAGTCAGAATGCACTATGTTCTGTACTGTTTTTATTTTTTTAATAATTTTAAGTTTGTTTGTAGTCTCATGGTACAATTGATGCTGCTCATAAAATATGGTAATAATATTTGTGTGTAAAGGGTGCAGAGTAAAAGAGAACTACACTAATACCTCATTATTTTGTTGTTACTCCACTGAAATTGCTATGTACTCAAAAAAGTTGTGACATTCTTACCAAGTACCAGGTTTTATTTGTTCCTTAATATTTAAAGATTTTACTCTAAGGAAATTGGACTTTTGATGATTCTTAAACAGAGTTCTGTTTCTAAGATGTGAAGCTGTGATGCTATGTAGTATTGTAATAGTTTACTGACACTTCAGAGGAATGTTGGTAAACTTCTGCTAGACTGTGTTGTTACATCGCAGAAGATAGTACACATCATTGCTGCTACTGTCAGAACCTCAAATCTGACAGTTCTTAAGCCGTGTGCTTCATTTAAAAGGATCCTACTGCTGATGATAAAACAAATGTGGCAGTGTTCCACGATTTTTGTTATATCTCACTTCCATAAACTGATCTTCCACTTTTTTCACCTGGTCTTTTAAGGCACACACACCCTACTACCAAATCTGGAGCCTCATATTCATTATTCATTTTGTACCGTTCCCAGTTGTACCTTGCCACACCACATTGTGAGATATGAAGTTTGTGATGACAGTCATCTTGATTGAATGCTGCATATCACAAATTAGATTTTTTCTATATTATACATACTGCATTATCTATGATCAAGTGTTTAAATATTTTAGTACAGTAAAACCTGTCTTAAATGGAATCTCAAGGGACCAGAAAAAATTTCCGCTGAAGCCAGGTTTCCATTTAATCAAGGTATACTATAATAACTAAACCAGGACATAAACGTATTTGAGACAATACAAAACAACATGCTCATTAATTTATTCACACTATAATCATTGAACACATGTAAACATTACACTGAACAGGAAAAAATTGCAGTGCTCACTTTTTATAATTTTACCAGAACTCTGGCAGAGTTTTTTGCACGCAGTTTACTCTCTTGGCTGCCTGACTTTCCACAAACACTTTAGCTTGAGACATTAGAGTAAGCATGTCTGAATCATTCTGTTGCATGGCAAGCTCCTGCAGTACCTTTAAACTGTTGGCAGCATCCTGATAAGTCTTCACTCTACAGTGAACAGACAATTTATCTCGCTCACTCTCATGAATCACTTTTAATCTTGTGTTAAGATCAAGCACAACTCTTGTCTTTTTAGCCATGATGACAACTGCTAGACTAAAGTAAAACTGTAGGCCTAGAGCCCTTACCGAATACAATTTCCAGAAGGGGAAAACAATTCTGTTGAATCTCAGTGCAGGTAGTGCAGTACCATTAGAAGCTTATTTTAAAGAGTTAGGGAAAACAAAATTCTGTAGAATGTATAGGATGCCTAAAACTATTCTAAACGATGCATTCTGGAAGACTGGAAATTTTCCGTATAAAGGCTTATTTTGATTTCCGTTGTCCGCATTAGACAGTTTCCATTTAATCCAGGTTATTTAACATCTTTTTTCAGCCCCAAAGTCAAGGGACCTGAAAATATTTCTGTTTAAGACAAATTTCCATTTAATAAAGAGTCCATTTAAGGCAGGTGTTACTGTATCATGTTCATTATCATTAGAAGGTTGTAGTCAGTGTATATACAGTTTTAATATTTTGGATAGTCTGAGCATGGAACTTTTGAAGCTGTCTTTTGCCCCTATGAAGTTTGAGTAAACTAGGTTTCATTGTACTAAAAGAGGTTTAAAGCCAGATTATGAATGGCAAGTACTTGTATTGCAACTTACATAACCATCCTTAGTCGTAAAGAGACCGAATTAAGACTATGTAAGGTTAGAGGATAGTAGTAGTGGTAACACTTAAGTACAAAAGTTCATCATTAACAACAACTTTATTTACTTGCTGTACTGCACTGCCAGCAGTTAATTCTCTCAGTGTAGAAAGAAAATCATTTACTGGGAGTTGACATATAATCCTATTTTCCTTTGGAGCCAAGTATTTTATGGACTTGTGTTTAATGTTACTTAAATATTGTAAAGAGCTTCATAAAAATTACACATATAACAAGCAATGGTGCTAACAGGTGTGGAAAATTTTTTGAAACTTTAGTAGCCTGATGGATATTTTGGTCGCCAAAGAAAGATGGATTAGTATCCTCTGGTATGTTGGTGTGACTCTTGCCACATAAGGAGGTGTATTGACATTTGATGGAACTGGCTGCTGCATTAACTGCTACAGCATATCTTCATATGCATGCTTTTTGAGATCTTATGATAAATTCTGACACCGCCTCTGTGGTCTAGTGGTCAGTGTTTTTGGGTACAGATCCAGAGGTCCGAGCGCTACCAGATTTTTTCTGAGAAGTATTGGGTCCAGAACAGGGTCCACTCAGCCTTGTGATGATAATTGAGGAGCTATTTCAAGGAAATAGCAGCTCCAGTCTAGAAAACCGAAATTGACGGCCATAGGGATTCGTTGCACTGACCACGTGACACCCTCTATCCACAAAAGTTGGCACTGAACTTCGCCGACAAGCGGCGGTCACTTGGTCGGTATAGTTCACTTGTGGACTAAAATCATGGAGTTTGTTTTGTTTTTTATAATGAATTCTGTTATAAGAGTGAATTATTTATATTATGTTTATTGTATTTAATTAGGAACATGTTTGGATATAGTGTGTACCTGGATTTAGGCTTTATGAAATCATCACCTGATTACTGGAGTGTGCTATGTCCATCAGCATCAATTTTTGGAAAACTGGGTTTGAAGTTATGGAATCAACTGCAGTTTAAATATGACTTAGAACAAAAACACATTTTGAAATGTCACATTTGTATTTAAGGAAACCCATGGGACTATGTGGAGATAGCACAACACAATATGGAAAATCAGAGAAGTGCATTCTCTTATTTTTTGCCCAACAGTGGAGATAGAAAACTCCAGTACTCAGGTGACAATATATGCATACTGTCAGGTAGTACAGTTCAGTACATGAATTTGTATAACATGACAAAGGTTTTATCCCTTGAAGCCTTCTATTCTGAGAACAGTGCAGGCCCAAATAAAAGCAGTGTTTATGACTGGAATTACTGAGTTGTCCAGAATTCTAAAGAACACAGTGTTTCAGATACTGGATCTGGTTCTGTCCTCAGGTGGAAGGGTGGGAGGCGTCTCCTCTGTTGTGTCTGTTAGGCAAAGCTAAACTCAGGTCCTGTAACTGAGGTTAATTCTTTCTAATGGACCTAATAAAGTAGGTGCCTCCAACCCTCTCACTTGAGGATGGAAATAGATTTTCCAAAAAGTTATATTGTGTAGAATTCCAGACAGTGGACACAGTCCAGGAACTTGGTAGTCCTGAGTGTTTTACGCCATCATCAGAATCCTTCAGAATTGACATTTAAGGCAGTCACCATGGTTTTCAAAATCTTTAAACAGCTAGTGCAGGGATATTAAAATTGTCATTATTGTACAATTTTGTTCAGTTTCTATAAGTCCTGAGGCTTCTGTTATTGATGTAATCTATGCAAGATATCCATAATACACTGTTAGTTTCAATTTTAAATTGGAAATGAGTATACCTAGATGGTGTGTAAGCATTTGTGCTGCTACAATGAGCTATGATCATACATTAGGCTGTAAGGATTGCTATCATTTATTGCTCTTAATTATATGTGGTTCTATATTTTATCTTTTGCAGAAGTTTTATGATGAATATGTACCAAATAATATTTCTCTGGGGTCTGCGTCTTTCAAGATTATAGTTCGGAATCTCATGTCAGGTGAAGAAGACAAGTATAGGACTATCATGATGAGTATGATTTACTTCAGGCAATGAAACTGTTATAAAGAGACATGGGGTACATATGATTTGATGGCACATTAAAGTGACTGTGCAAAAATGCTCTTGGATAATTAATCACATTTGTGTCAATTTTCCGCCAATGGCAGCAAAATTGTCTGATCCAAGGACAGTCATGCTGTGACATAAGGGAAGGCAGAAGTTGTTCGAAGTTCGTTGAAAACTGCCATCTTTATTTTATACACACAAGTACCATCTTCACACATTTGCCTTTTTGCAGGATCCAGACAGATGTTGTCACATCTGGATGCTAAGTTTTTCTTGTACTATGCATAATTGGTTACAGATTTATTGAATTTCATTCATAATAAACAATACAGGCCCAGCCTGATAGGGAATTTTGTTATTATAACAAATATGTCTGTATTTCATACCATATGTTGTTAGCATATTCCTTTTGTGCATAATTTACAAAATTTCTGGAGGGAGCCCTTCCTTGTTAAACATAATGGAAGGGCCATCCCCATCCATGGGCTTCACCACCAATTGCCACCTTTGCACTGATGCAACTGATCACGCGATAGAATGTTAGTGTGTTTATTCATTGCAGAAACTTAAGATTTTACATATTAGAATGAAGTACAGAACTATTATGCTTATTTTGGACTCTATCCATCATCTGGTGTATGGAAGAAATAACCACAAAGTTTCGGAGACTGGATCTGTCTCCGTCCTCCGGTGAAAGGGGGAGGATAAGCCTACTCAGTTGGGCCAGTGGTCCACTGATTGAGACTAGCTCTTTCTAATGGGCCAAACTGAATAGGTTTATCCTGCCCCATCCGCCTGAGGATGGAGACAGATCCAGTCTCCAAAATTTGTGGTTTTTTGTCTTCCATACACCAGATGATGGACAGAGTCCAAAATAAGCGTAATAGTTCTGTACAGCATACAGCATCATCAGAATCCTTTCAAGTCATGTTAGAATGAACTGTGTATTATAATGTGATTACTGAATTCTGTACTAAGTGACATTTCATTGATAAATTCTTGGCCATACTGTGACAGTTGGTGGAGCCTTGTAAACAGGATATTATTTTTTAACCTCTCCGTATTTCATAAGGAAAGAGAAGTCTGTGGAGTCTCTTTGTATGTGTGTATCTAGCAGTTGTATGTGCATGTTTGTTTCATCCAAATAACTTCTCATTTAATGGATGGATGAAGATTACTGACTTCTGGGATGAGGTGCCATGTTGTTTGATAGATGAAAATGAACAATTTGGAGGAACTTGGCTGCCTCCATGATCAAGGTGGAAGAGTAGGCCATGCAGGAAAAAAAAAACACAGCAAGATGCAATGAACCTGCATTTAATATTCTTCAGTTCAATGTTTTCCTTCATTTAACATTCGATTTCATTATTATAATTTAGCAGACTCAGTGGTAAATTTACCCCCATTTAGGATTCTCTGCAGTTCAATATCAAATTATTGGTCCCCAAAGAAACCTTAAGTAGGGGTTTCACTGTACAAGGAAGGAAGGACAGGAACTGGGAATGTGCAAGAGCACCTTTTTCCCCAGAGCTTACTTTTTTACCCTGAAGATGGAGGCAGCAGATTCTTCTGAAACGTTGGTAGCTGCATGACACAGCATCACATACCAGAAGACAGTAATTTTCAGTCACTGCCATGGGAACCTGAAATCTCACACAGTAGATTGATTTTTGGGAAACTTAGTGTCAGTATAATGCTGTTGGTCATAGCCATCTGTCATTATATTTCCCTCTTCTCTGCTGTGAATAGTCTTAACATGGCAGCCATGTGAGGTTTAACGTTCGATGGCAGTGATACTATTTATTACAGGATCCTGAAATACCATTGGACCATCCAATGTTCATAGCATAGAACAAGGCAAAGCCAGACATAGAAAATATGAGAGGCTTAAAACTTGGCAGCGGTCAAACTTATGACACCGTTCAAGTGACTAAGGTGCTGTTGTAGCATGAGCTAAGTAAGCTAGACATTATATGCTTTGCAAAGGCTGATAAGAGGACTTGTATATGATGTACAAGTAAGAATGTTCAAGAACATGTGTGATATGTACATTTGACAAAGGCGAAGCCAAGCCGAGCCTATTCATAACAGAGAAACCCATCCCTTGTCAGAGAGGATGTAACATGAGGAGTATGGCCTTGGTTCAGCTGAAAAAAACAAATTTGGTTGTGATCCTCAAGGGGCTTGGTGCCAAGACGAACTGATTGGCGGTAAACCCCCAGTTGTAAAGTAACTTTGACTTTGACATTGACCATCCATTTGTTCCTAGCACCACATCTTGCTCTCCCTTCTCTATGTAGGTGATCAATCTTTCCCACACAGTTTGTTCTTTTACCACGAAGATGTAGTCAACTTGTCCCCCTGAATATGTTGATCTACACCTTCACTTACCTCTGTGTCTACAGGCATGGTGCATGGTGTCACATCCCAGAAGAAAGTAATTCATTTGTCAAGGTAAGTATTCTGTAGAATGTAAAATAACAGTATTGTGGCTTCATGAAATGTGTATTGTACCAGTAACCAGGGTCAGAAATGGAGGTTGACATGGGAGTATGCTGTCTGGTTAGTTCCAGAGTGATTGTTTTTAATGAAGCTAATACTATACCAGAAGATATAACTATCACTCCCAACAGTGATTCATGCAAGAATGAATTCCTGAACCTGCATTGTAAGTGATTTCCTTTACAGTACATGCTGGTCATTTGTCAGGCTCGTCAATATACCTGGAGTATTGGAATTTTTAGTTCATGAATTTGTACACATATTGTACAAAACCTTTTGAATTTTGAAAGTTACAAGTAGGTAAATGTACAATGTTCAGGTTATGGCTGGTGATTCACATGTAGCGATAATGTATGCTATTGATATGCACAAAAGTTGAGCATTATTAATTTATGATTTCTGCTGCTAGCCTCTGTAGACAGTTGAGAGGCCTAAGAGAAAGTTGGTCTCGTAATTTATCTCAAATACTTCCTGCTTTTAATTTACTATCATATGAACATCATCAATATATTCTTTCAGTCACTATTCTCTACCAGGTTTTGTTACACCAGTGGATTAAATTAATTTTTCAGTGCATCAGTAGATATGTTTTTGTGTGTCATACTGATGTCAGTTAATTCATATTGCTATCTTCTAGTTTATGGCACTTGTAGTCCAGTAGAGGCCATTGTTTTGAAGGACTGGAGATGGAGGAAGGTGTATTATAGTGACTCAAGGTGGACCAGTGATTGAGATTAGCTCTTTCTGATGGGCCGAACAGAGTAGGTGTCTCCCAGTGCTCACCTGAGGACAGAAACATCCAGTTTCTGAAACGTGTTCTTTTGTATTTTTAGAATACTGGATGATGGACAAAGTCCAAACACCCAGTAATCTTGAGTAATTATACATCATTGTCAAACTGTGATGGGTAATGAAAACATTCATGCTTGAACTTTATCAGTGATTGGAATTCAACACGTAAATACTTGACCATCCTTGGTGAGTACTACATGCTGTCAGTCACACATCTTTGGCAGTATGGAGAAACATATGTGATGTCTAGTGGTGGCTGGGTAGAACATTTCTCAGTGAGGATGGGCACTGCATTCTGTGAATATTAATTCACTGGACTACTAGTTGTGCCATATAGAGGCATGAGGGTACTAAATTATCTTCATGAACCTGTTACTGAAGTGTGGCAACATTAGTGCCCACCTGTTCCAAGTAATCCTGAAAAGCATACATTATTACGGCCAGATTTTTTTTTTAATTTTGTCAGCGCACTGAACATGTTTCGTATTTCCCTATGATATGCTGCTTTCCATATGTCCTATATTTAGTACTGGTTTAGTGGGATATTTTTTTAATGCTGATACATTTGAGACATGTTGCTTATAAATGAGAGGTACAAACTAACATGAAAATGACTTTGATATTATTTTATGTAGTGTTCCATAATGAAAAACCTTTTGGGATAAAAGTATGAAAATTAAATACTTCAGAAGGTAAGGAGCTCTTAAGGATGTTTAGATACAGTAGTTGGAGCTTCCAAATAAACACTGATGCTCATGAATTTTGAACCCCAGCATACAACATGACACTAAATCTATCATCCAGACCGAAGTTTCTCAGAAATAAGATACATGTGATGCAAGTGTTTGGTACATAAGCCTTCTCTTCACAGTTTAAATCAATGCTTCTCAGAGTATTCAAATTTCAACGGTCGATTCTCTATTTATATAATACCTTTCACATTTTTTTATTGCTAGTGGGGTGGGACTAAGTCCCTTGTACTGGGGCCACCTCTGGCCTATTGTACCGGCCCCAGATGATTGATGATTGTGATTGTGGAGCAATTGGTGGACTGAAGATTGGCAAGGGAAACCGAAGTACTCGGAGAAAACCTGCCCCAGCACCACTTGACCAAACCTGGGCCACCACTGTGGGAAGCCAGTGACTAACCGCTTGAGCTATGGCGCGGCCTTATACATTTCACATATATTTGACTAATATGTTGTTTTGTATATTACTTCTTTATGTAGGAAGTAGTGTATGTAGGGTGTAATAAGAACTGTAAAATAAAAATTTAAATGATCATTTTTGAGCATTTATTTATTGTACATTAGCACTGTAAATCTTGAAAACTCTTTTGAGGTATACTGTATTCACAGTACAGTGAAACTTAGGTTTAAGGTGTCTTTTTGGGATGGTGGATATAAACACTAAAGTAGGAAAAAATCTTAAACAGAGGTCACTTAACATTGAGATTACTTGGGATCACTGAAATTGAACATAAATGAGGGAGAATCTTAAATCATGTAATATGAAAGGGTGTTTTTTCCAGAACATGTTTCTGCTGTGTTGCCTGGTGTATAAAACAATATATCTGCAACCTTGATTCAGTTGAAAGATGTGTATTTATTAATGATGGAGATGAGGGAGAATAAGTGGCTACTTGAAAACGGTAGGTCTGTTGAACATGTGATAGCTGTGAGCATACATAATATGTATGAACTCTATCAGTGTGTAGAAAAATTTGATAATACTCTGTTCATCTTTTAGAAACAAATTGGCTCATAATGACTGAGTTCATAGTGCTGTAGTGCCTATATTTCGCTAAGCATCACAACATTATGGGTAAAGGTAAAAGGTAAAGTTTTCCCTGGGCTTCATTAATTAAGTGCAATACCCTTCACCTTACATCATTAGGGTGATCAAATCAAGGATGATATAATGAGCGGGATGTGTAACATGTAAGAGATATGAGAAGTGCATACAAGATTTTAGCCTGAAAAACAAAATGAAAGACCCACATGCAGAAGAATGAATACTATTAAAATGGTTCTTGATAGAGTATGAGGATGTGAATTTGATTCTTCTCACTAGGGATGTGGCCCCGTTGTCGGATCTTTTAAACGACAATCAGGTTACATAAAAGGCAAGAAATTTATTTATTAGCTGGGTGAAAATTCGCTTCTCACAAATTACAATGATCTGTTAAGTTAGTTGACATATTACAATACTTTCACTTTTCAGTATACATAATAAGCACATCAAAGTCACTGTTGTAATAGCCATCTTCCGTTTTTAAGGTGTAGCTCCAATTTACTTTCAAGGCCTGCGGAAAACCACGAGGGGCCTTGGTCAGAATACGATTAACCCATAGGATATTTGGTATTACCCACCCTTTATTACACACTGCATTTAAGTGTCGTTCCTTTCCTCCCCTTGCTCACATGTGACGGTTCAGTGCTAATAACATAACATTGGTTAGGTAAGAAGCACCTGTATAATACATAATCTTGTTTGAAATTAAGTAGAGTCCTCCAGAAGTGAAGTAATTAATAATTCCGTTTTATACGATGCCATCTGAGGTTCAATGACTTAGAAAATACGACTTTCCATGTACAGAATGTCTCTGTGCTCGGGAAAATGGCAATGGACTTCCAGTTTTATCCATGAAATTATTAAACAACAATAATAATAATAATAATAATAATAAAGCAAATAAGTACAGCTACCCAATCCACAACCTTAAATAACTTTCCCACACCACGACATTCTACATAATTTTTTTTTCACCGGATGCATTTCCGGTAAGTGACAAAAGAAAGTGAAATTGCGTTCGAGGGTAGAATAGCCAAGATGGCTGCTGCTCTGTCACAGGAGCAAGAGCAGGTGAGAAGTAATTTTTAATGTATATGTTGTTTTTAAATAAATACTTGTTATTAAATGTCATTTACACCAAGTTTAAGACCTGTTGGATTAAACGTGGCATTAGTTTTAAATGAAAAGGTAATATGCTCGAAAGGAGTAGTGAAAACAAGAATGAGTTGAATGTCTCTCGCATGTCAAGTGATATCAAGATACTCCTCTCGTAATTTGTGCGTGCTCATACTCTGAAGTAAGGGAGCGCTCCAAGATAATTTTCTTTACCACCTCTTTAAACTGGGGTAAGTACTTTCACTGTTATTATTCTTCAGTGGTTCGATTTGTGTATTTGCATGTTTTATTTTGCGGATTCACCAAGGACACATGGTTCTGACAGGACGCATGTTGGATCATTCATGTGGTTCTGAATTGTTCTTATTAGAGACACTGGACATGTAATTATTTTGTTGGAATGTGACAGTGGTAATTATTCTCAGACGTCAATTCGGGATGTGGAATATACGTAGCCGGTTCGCAAGAAAATAAAATATTTGCGGCAACTGTGAAAATCATACTCATGGGTCCAAAAACTAACGAATTCTTGTTCGCAGAATGAAGGGCTAGACTGCTTGGCGGGATTGTCCCTAGGGATGGCATTATTGATCGCAGCTTGACTCCCCACTCAATTTCTGGGGACGTTCGTTATTTTCCTGCACTCCTTGTTTATTCGTCCATCATTGATGCACTATTTTTAAAACAGAAAAGTTGTCTTAAAAGATTCTATGTATCTGTTGGTAATTATGGTTTTTAAGTTTTCGAAAATTGATGTGGGTCCGAAAGGTGGCACTATTTCAATTTTGGTAATATCAGAGTGACGATTGTTACTTCCTATGCAACGGTCTATTCTAGCGTTTCCATAGAAGTTACTCTTCTGGATTCCAGACACGTTACAATACATTTAGAATTAGTTGCTTTTGTGTGCGAATATTTTCCGTCTTCTATGTTTATACAGTGTTAAAAGTTATAATTGGCGTATATTCGTAGGGCTATGTAAAGTGGCACTGAGCAACATGGCCTAGCACACGTGCCGAACCGTGTAAATCATACCGACAGTTCAGGTCTTGAATAGTGCAAGAAAGGGTACGATGTTGCCTAACTCTCCCACTATTAACAAAGGAAGGAAATTAAATGGCGGCGACGTGATTTTTTAATGGGATGATAGTAGTACTAATTTTTAGCGATTGCCGTTGATTATAAAGGATGCGAATTCTTGAAGCTTAATAAACCACTATATGTACCACCTGCATTAAAAGTAGCTCTTAAGTATATTTTGATGGGTATTGGAATTGCCAGTTGTGGCGACTGACAGCTGTAAAATATGCCCAGATGATAGTGCAGATAGTATTCTTACAGGACAGCAAATGTAGTTAACTGTATATGAGGTTTTTGTAAATGTTATAATCTTGGGATTTATTTTGAGTACACATAATCAGATAAAAGATTCTTCACATTTTGCCCAAACAGGGCATTTATGAGTTTATATAATTCGCACAATAAACGATTGTTTACCTACACGACATTAACTGGCTGGGCTTTGTAGCAGACATAATGTGTTTCCTGTGAGGTACGAGCTGAATTTTATATATTTAGATGGCTTTCATTTTTCAGAGGTTTAAATGTTTATGTTTTTATGGACAGTGAAGCGAGGTCATTACAGTCATATATGTACGTCTCCTTCATGAGGAGTGATGTAACGATTTCCATGAAAACTTAAAGGAATGAGTCAGTCTAACGTCAGTGTGGGAAGATCCTTCTTTTGCGGTCTACAAAGCTGTGGAGCATCAACTGGTTAAAAGCAGCAGGCCTTACTAGCGAAACATAACCACAAAAACGGTCAGTTCTTATTTTACCAGGATTTGGAGATGGATATTTCTTGCAAATTAGAATCTACAGAATGAAATTCGCGAGGATTTCGGCTTGAATGGGGGCTTAGACCAGTCGATGTAAGACTAGGTTACGGTATGAACGACTGAGGTGTCAGTGTTCGATTCCCCGACAGGGGCAAGAGCTGTTCCCTTCAGAGCGTCCAGACTAGCGCTGGGGCCCACTCCGCCTCCTATCCATTGGTTACCGGATGTCATTTTTCGGAGGGTAAAGCAGACAGGACGTGAAGCTGATTAATGATCTTCCAGTGCCGAAGTTAATATGTGGAGCTATACATCTGCTTACCCCGTACTTTTTATGGCTTCGTACATAATTAATTAACAGCTTTACCTTTTTGTGAGCCGGGATAGCGCAGTCGGTATAGCGACTGGCTACGGGCCGAACGGCTGAGGGGTCAGAGCTCGAGTCGCAGTAGGGTCAGGAATTTTCTCTTCTCCACGTCGTCCAGACCACCTCTGAGGCCCACCCAGCTTCCTATCCAAAGGATACCGTGGGCTCTTTCTCCGGGATAAGACGGCCGGGTCGTGAAGCTGACCACTCACCTCAAACTGGTGCCGAGGTCAAGAAAATGTGGGTCTATACATCCCCTCCCCCGTACGCCTTTATGGCGCAGTGCTTAATTAGTTAAGCACAGGGACAACATTTTGTACTTTATACTTACATTTTTGTAATTTATAAAGTCAAGATAAATTACCGAAGCATTTTGTTGGCACAAAGCTTATGCACAGGGAGACTGGTGTTGATTTTTGTGATGTCACATGCCATCGATACGAATTAATAGTTCAGTTTATGTTACAGTTTTGTTCGTAGCATATACAGATTGTGGCCCGACCAGTATGGTGACTATAAGACGGACTGAAATACCGGAGGTTTGGGGTTCGAATCATGGCGGAGGCATAGTTATTTCATCCACACCGACAATGGGGCTCTCCCAGCGTCCTGTCCACTGAGTACCTAGGGTTCTTTCCCGGGGCAAAGCGGCCGGGGCGTAACGTTAACCGAGAGTTAAGAAAGACTAGAACATTCCCACAGGAAAGTCGAGGTTTGCCGTTTGCTGTAGTGCCAATCTATTTTTACTTTTTCTTTTTTGATAGGGCGAAGTTTCGATAGGGACGAAGGGTACAGAATAGCTTATTTTAGTATCGGGATATGATGAAATATTGTCATATTACACAGACTGGTGTTGTGTTTACGAAGATACGACACCATAACTGTCCCATGTGCTTGTCAACTTTTGAAACTGATGCCAACAAAATAACTAATACTAGTCACCAACGTTTTGATAACCTAAAAAGGAAACATTCTGATATGCTCAATAAAATCTTCCATCCGCCTCATGTTTTAGGTATTTTGAATTTTCAGCCCTACATTGTTTTCTTTTTTATTTCTGTATTTTTAGCGTTATTATTATTTTCATGGATCATAATGCGAGAAGAGTATGTTTTATTATCACATGCAACTAATGCCAAGGTCAAGGTAACGTGGATCTATACATCCACTCCCCCATCTTCATGTCAGTGCTTAATTAGTTAAGCACAGGGACAACTTTATCTTTTACCTTTTTTCTTTTCTTGGCACTACAGCCCCAGTGGGCCTAGGCCTACCTCCATGAACTTCTCCGTTCACTTCGGCTTTTATAGATGTTACACATTCGGTAGGACTCCTTGGGCGGGTGATCAGCTCGTCGCAAGGCATCTACCTGTACACAAACACAGAAAAACACACACACAAACTAAACATCCATGCCCTGAGTGGGATTCGAACCCACGATCTCGGTTTCCAAGCGAGCGAAGACAGTACATGCCTTAGACCGCTCGGCTACCGTGACCGGCCTTTAACTTTTACTGAACAAAAATTTATTCTTGTTTAGTTAACGTAATTCCAAACTGCGTAGTAGCAAATATTGGGCTATGAACGTTTTTGTGGCTTGCATACAGAAAAAAAAATTAAACTGGAGGATAATGGAAAAGCAAGTACTGTGCGTGTTACAACTTCTTGAATATCAATTTTGTGGTCGACGTAACCGATCTAGTCGAAAATGTCCTATTTCGTACATGTTATAATTTTTTAATTTGTATCCTGTGTTACAATAAAGTGGGCCGAGATTACACTTCGGCTTCCTGCGTCAGAGGTCGCTCCCATGACATCCGGTTGCTTAACAGCTACATTCTGCTGATGTGGCCGGAAGTGTGTTAGTACAACATCTTTACAGAAAACAGGGCAAACCGATTCTAAGGACCACGTTTATTATTTATTTATGCTTTGTTTAAGAACGCTGTCGGTATCTCAGACATATTTAGCGTCGAGTGTGGCGATGATTCATGAAGAATGAATGGGAATAATGTGTGTTGGAGGAAGTGGTCGTTTCCTTATTAGGGATACTATCCCGGCATTTTCATGGAAGGACCGCGGAACATCACGGGAACCTCAGCATATTGGGTGACCGAGCCAGAATTCAAACTAGGGACCTCCAAGTTAGAAACGTTACCGCATGGTCTGACTTGCGTCGTTAACGTCGTGTAATAAGTATATGCTATTTGTGACCCTGTTATCTAGATTATGGTAATGCATTTTTCGTTCTTAACTGTAGACCTATCGGTAGTTCTAGGCACCATGTTTAGCAGAAGAGGGGAGTTTTCAGAGGTCATGAAGCCTTCCTTCGTAAAAAACGAATTTAGTATTAACTGACAATGCGAAGCGTAGAAATAGGTTCGGCATCTAAAATAGGTGACAGAATTACAGGGTTTGTGAATTTATCCATCGTCCGATATTCTAGAAAGTAGAAAACACGACGTTTCGGAAACCGGATGAGTTTGCATTCTCAGGTGAGGGTGGGGAAGGCACACACTCAGTTGGATCCCTTAGAAAGAGCTAACCTCAATCACTGGACAACCCCTGTCAGATTTACACAGCTATTTAATCACCCGATACCAGGCTAATTCGGCGGGAGATAACAAGAAAATTTGCAATAAAAATTGTGGTGGAGCACGCACATGAATGGAACTAAGGAAAAGAAAGAGGTAGAAATTTATGGTACAAACCCAGCCAACAAAACAAAGTGCATGAGCACCAGTGCAACGAAA